CCCCCCCCCCCCCCCATTACTGACCAGATCAACGCTGCACCACCCGCACAGTGCTCTGGGACCCCCCCTCAGAGACATAGGCCCCAGGAAGCACTCAGCAGTGCTGAGTGGACCAGAGCCATGTTATGAAAGAAATCGTCCATTAATCTAACAAACAGTTACTACCATGGGCGGGGTTCTGGAGTTAAAAATCAAAAATCAAATAAGCCTCTGTTTCTGCCCTGGAAGACCTTACCGTGAGGACGTGGGAACTGCTAACTGGGAGGGAGATGTGACCACTGTTTTCAAACACTCGGAGGACCAGCCTGGTGGACTCCAAAGTTAACAACTTTAAGCCATAACGTGTTTTTGAACTCACATAGTTAACAAGACTTAGTCACTTGCTAACATTTAAATTAAAAAGATTTTACATAATTTTTAAAAATATTTTTATTGAATTTAGAGAGAGGAAGGGAGAGGAATGCCTCCTGCCTACCTCTTACGGGGATCGAGCCCGCAACCTGGGCATGTGCTCTGACTGAGAATTGACCCGTGGCCTCCTGGCTCATGGGCTGATGCTGAACCACTGAGCCACACTGGCTGGGCCAAAAGATTTTATGTAATTTTTAAGAAGCTCTATTCCTGCTTCTCTAGAAAAATGGAAAGATCGGGCCCCCAGGCTGGGCCCCCTCCCATCAGGCAGCCACTAGTGGGAGCCAGGGAGCAGTCTCCCTGGTTAGGGGACAAGCCCGCTGGTTTGCTGCAGTCCCCACCCCTCCCTTAGGGTCCCAGAGCTGAGGCCCAGTGGAAGTTGGATTTTGTTATCTGCTCTGCTACTGTTTCTCTTACATCTTTCCGTTTCCCACCTGGCTCTGTGGGATATTTGAACCTGTGACCCCTAAGGAGTAGGAGGGAAAGGGCTTTGGAGTCAGACAAATTCCTTATAGCTATGTGCCCTGGAGCTGACAGTGTGACCTCTCTGAACTTTGGGCTTCTCGTCAATGAAACCTCCCAGGGCTGCTGGGAAAGATGTGCTCACAGTGTGTCAGGTGGTCCATCAGCGGGGGCTCTGCTTGTGCTTCAGGTAGGAGCCCTTGGCAGCAGGTGACAGACAAGTCCAGAGAAGTGGTTAAGAGTATGGACTCGGCACCCCGATGCCCAGGTTCAAGGCCTTGGCTGCATCACTGACTAGTTGCACGGTCCTAGATGAGTTGCTAAACCTCGTGGTGCTTGTTTTCTGAAGTATAAGTAGGGTTGATGATGGTACCTGTCTCACAGGGCTGGTAACGAGGATGGAATGAGCCAATGTTTGGCGAGCATTTCAAGCAGCGCCCGGCACAGAGGAAGCATTAGTAAAATGTATGACTGCTGTAGTCAGTGCAGGGCAAGTGCTGAGGCGGTCTGCCTGGGGACACAAGGGCTCCTCACTCCTCACGCATCGGTCCTCCATTCCTTCTGTGATCACTTACGAGCACCTACTAAATTCTGGACACTTGTCGGTACTGTGGTCATAGCAGTGAGTGATGCAGGCCAGGCCCGCTCTCCTGGAGCTTGCTTTTATGGGGTGTGGGTGGAGGGGCCAAGGATGAAAAGCACGTAAGCAAACAAATAAACAAGCGTGTGAAAGAGAGGGAAGAGTGCAATGAGATGACAGTGTCTGGGGGAAGAGGTGCTCGAGAGAGGGTGGCTGCAGAGGCTTCCCAGGGGCCACATCGGAGCTGACCCTGAAGATGAGAGGGAGCAGCGTCGGGAAGGTCTGGAGGGCGAGTGCCCAGTGAGTGGCACAGTGAGGGCACTAGGAAGTGGGGTCGGGCTGAAAGGAGGCTGGTGGCCCGTGCACAGAGGAGGGCAGTAAATGGACTGGATGTGCCAACTGCACTGTTACTGTCTTAGGAGGAGACTGGATTGGTCTCCTTTGGCCCTGAGTAGTGGCGTTATGAAGCAAGTTCTCCATGGAAGGGAGTTCTAGGGGACAGGTTTCGGGTGTGTAAGATAGAGGTGAAGATAGTCTCTCTACCCTTTTGAATGGGCTCCACTGTCCTTGGAGGCAGCCAGGGGTCAAGGTAGCTGAGTCTCCAATGACTAGAGGTGGCCGGTTCTCAAAAGCCACCCCCTCAGGAGAGGGACCACAGCCCTGCCAAGCCCTTCAGTTACTCCCGTACCAGCAGGAGGGACAGGTGTGGCTCCTGTGCATTTGCACTGGCTGGTCAGCAGGGACACAGCGGTCATAGTCTATGCCCGGCTGGCTCCACCTCCTCCCCGCTGCTTCCCTGCCTCTCCAACCTATTTCCTTGCCTGTCTTTCTCAGTGTCTCCCCTAAACTCTGAGTCACACATCCCCTTTCTACTGACCAAGCCCCAAACCTTCTCGAACAGGACAGATTTTCCTTCTTAGGGTCTTGCCCAGCAACTAGGAAGCACTTTTGGGTAGAGCTGCCCTTGCTGGAAGGGGCTGCCTCGGGCTCACCGGCCTGAGGATCCCTGGGCCACCAAGTCACAGAGTCAGCTAACTGCGGGCCGAGAGGCTGCCCAGCAGCACCCGTGAAACCCTTCTTGGGACTCCAGTTCTGGGGAACCAGCCAGGTGAATGGTGCTGCTTTGTTGGGCTTCCGAGCTGCCACCTGCCCTGTGGAGCCCTGGTGGTGATAGATGGGCCCTGGT